CTAACTCACAGATCCAACCCTGAAACAACCTCTGGGCTGATCAAAGTCAGGGTATGGCTAACTCACAAATCAAACCCTGAAACAACCTCTGGGCTGATCTAAGTCCGGGCATGACTAACTCACAGATCCAACCCTGAAACAAGCTCTGGGTGGATTCTTTCATGTCCCTCCAACAATGCTTATTGAAAAAAACGTGGAAAAACGGGAACGCCATTTGGATAGGTCATCCAAACCACTTGAAAGTTTAACCCTGTGCGGATGGAATTGAGAAGGCAACACTTTCTCCTCGATTGCCAGTATTTTAAGACCCCATTTGTTGGTCCAGCCAGGAATAAAACCTGCAACCTCCTACACAACAGCCCGATACTCATAAAACGTAAGCAATGCTACCTCATGCGCATACTCCATTTGCCCTCCATTTACACTACTTACAGCATCTCTGGTTGGTCGAATGTAGAGTACACAGCTGCAAGGACAACTGCTACAAGATTTGGCAAGACTCTTGGATGAGGACATACAGCACCAGGACTATGCATACTGGTAATAAAAATAATTACAAAAATAAAACTAATGGGATTTAGCAGTGGAATTTCTACTGAGTAGTTCTTCGTCCAGTGAAATACCAATTAGAATTCAGATATTGATTTAGCTGCAGAGGTACCGGTAGGAAAATCAGATACCCTTGCAAAGACTAATTATTTTCTCAAAGTTCTCAACATGTTGGGATGATGTTAAAGGCTTTACCTGTTCACAAATTCCTGGACATCAGTAGAAGTTTCGTTTTTACTGTACAGTGTGAAGATATAGTCTTGTACGAACATGCGCAGATGAGGCAGTTTGCCAAAGTCCTAAGAAATCCATTACGATATCAATGATTAAGATATTTGATGAAGATTATTTATGAGCTAGAAAAGTAAGTATAGAAATTATTCATTGTTTGTCTCTAGCTGAAAAGAACTTAAAAAATACTGTCTGGCTGCTCCAGCCCGAGATACAGGAAAGACTCATGATAAGTGGTCTGACATTTACTGGGTATCTGAAAGATCAGGGGTTCCATTCCTAACTGGGATTCTGATTTCTTTCTGATTTCCTTTCAGTGACAAATAATAAATCGTTTTATGTAAGATATTTTAGTTTATAACATGTAATAAGTGGAGATATGCTGGCCTAATGACTTGAGAGCTGATGTAGGTCAGGGCCTGGTTGTACGAAAGGTGGACGGCACTATCCAATGGATAAATCCTTATTCAGTTGATAAGTCAATGATGTTATTAAATAAATTTATCCACTGGATATGGATTTATCCCTTGGATAGCTCTATCCACCCTTTATACAACCTGGCCCAAGAGCTGTTGGTGTTTGGTAATGGTTGATGGTGATGGTCCTAATGATGACGATGATGATGATGATTGTGATGTTTTTAATGAAGGTAATTGTAATTTAAACAAAAATTAAAATCGAGGCCTGTTAGTCTGAGGTTTCGTTTGCTGGTGTGGGGTGCACCCCTCCATACAGCAAGGGCCTGCACATGTGGGCCATCAGTGCATTATGGCAGATCAGTGCCAAACTTAAACTTAACTACTTGCTGCTCAACTGGTGAAATTAGAGCCCCTTAGCCCAACTTCATCATGATTGCCAAAGCATTTAACTTACCATGTTGTGTTTTAGAATTCTATGGACGGCTGGTAAAAACATGTCCAGGACATTAAAGGTTTGTGACTGGCCTTTACAATGCTGAAAACAATCAAAATACCAAGGTTCAAGATCAGAAACTCTAGTATAGAGAGCTTTGTGAGTGGTGTGAGTGCTTTGTGTGTGGTGTGTGTGTAAAAAATCATGGCACAAGGGTTTGCCAGTTTAAGGGTGTTATGGAAGAACAGAAACAATCCTTAATAATAACAATAATGTGAAGAATGCACCCATCACAAATGTACATGTGGTTTTCAAGAAATAAATTTTCATAAGATACAAAATAAAATAAGCTGGAAATATTGTTAAAATGTTACAATATGAATGCCTAACCCCCCTCCCCCCTCCCCCCCAACAAAAGACACTAACCAAGCCAAATTATCTATGAATTAAATAAGCTAAAATTCTCTTAAATCGAAAGATTGTAAATGATGAAACTTATAAGGATCCTTTTATTTCCTTATCCTTTAAAAACTTATCTAATGACTTATTTAAATTCCTCTTTAAATTATTCTGAGGCATTGTCTTTCTTAATACAGATGGGAGGGATATTTAACCAATCATATATAGTACATCTATGAAAATATAACTTTGCTTACTTTGCTGAAGAAAGAGCAGACTTCAGGAGAGGGCTGCACATATTCCAAAACTGGTGCCAAGGCCTGTAAAAAAATCTAAATCAGAATTTCTTGTCTCAGCTTCCCCTGTCTTAGTCCTCCAATCCCTTCACCTCTGAGCTGCAGCTAAAAATCCTTACATATTATAAACAAAATCGAAAAGATTTATGATCACCTACCACTATTAACTTTTCTTGAGCATCCTCACAAAATGAATCACTGTACTAAAAACAACACAACATTATTGGCTTAGTATAATTTGTTCACAGCCCGACAAACAAAAGTATGATCACATTTAAAGCATTTGCATATTTCTAGGCACAGGCGTTTGGCTACCAAACAAGCTTTTCATGCCTTATTTATTAAAACTAGCCAGCGGTACCCCAGACAGCTTTGCATTGAGATGTGTTGGTTTGAAAATGGTTTGACGTATGAAAGTCCATGTATACATGTACATAAAAGTGTGTGAATTCATACACTTAAGTGGTCATACTTTTGAGCATTGTACTGAAACATTACTGCTTAGATTAATGCAATGCATTCACATTTAATGGACTTGCTGAATATGGGACAACATTTCAGTGGGCGCACTGTGCTTTTATGTTGCCACTTAATCTTTCATTGCTAATACTAGTAACTCATTAATTATCGTAAGCTGCACGGCTGCCAATAGTGCATTAATATGCAGCCCGTAAAGTCCTCCACTGGTCATAAATGTAAAGAGCATTGAGATATATGAAATGCGTTATATAAGAAACTATGAGAAACTCCCATTATTATAATTATTATTTATATATATTATTGTTGGGCTAGCTTGTTGGCAATTTGCCCTTCCGAGGCTGAGGAAAATACTAGGTCAAGTTGGCATTGCAGTGCATTTTGGGACTGTGTGAGGGGACCAAATAGGCGCCATGTTGCAAATATTATGTCTGTTATYATGTTATTAAAAATATGTTACTTCTTGACTTACATTTGCTAAAATATCCGATACAATTTTCACAGGAACTGTAAATATCACATCATCTTGTAGTGGAGTCGTAAGGGAAAATAACACCAAGTCCTGGAAACAACAACAGACGTTTAGTTTATTGCAACAGTTCTGGAAGAATTAATCTCTCAAGAGTGTCATAAAATTAGCACCAACTCCCGAATAAATGCTGGGCTGGAGTGCTTAAAATAGCAGCTGGTCAGTGGCTGGTGATGTTAACTGGCAAAATTAGTTTTAGATCAGTCATACTTCGTTTCTGGCTCAATATTACTGGTCAAAATTGGAGAGCGGGGGGTGGGGGGGGGGGGGATCATGCTCTGCTCTCTGGAACAGGTCATCTATTTTCGCATGTACTGGCGCAGTTTTTTTTGTGTACACAACAGGGTATGATTTTCAGTGATTTTACTCTGGAACAGGGTATGAATTTCAGTGTCAGGTTTCAGAGATCTGAGCGGCACGTCCCTTCCCTAAATAAGCACAAGTAATCCCACCCCCTGGGTCAGAATGGTCAGACTCGTTGGCAAACTCCAATTTTGGGTGGACATTGTCTGATGACTGGCTGTTATTTTAAGCTCTGGTTTGGAATAAATGGTGGTTCAATGCAGTGACCAAGTTTTACATACAGATAAATTGTTCAAGTATAAAAGATAGAATAGAGATAGAAACAAGAACTGCATGTGTGAATAGCATTTGCATAACGCACCTTCAACTCACGAGTCAAGGATTCTGGGTCATTTGTTTTTGATAATAACTTTTTATATCTTTGAAGATTAACCTGATAATTAAAAAAAATAACAGTCAATATGCATTGTTAATAAAGGACCAGCATACTGTATTGTATATGATATACAATACACAACTGTTGATAGAGCCTTTGCACCATCACATGATGGCAGCCATATGACAGGAGGAACAATAGAGTCTTTTGAACTCCCTTAGAAACTGAATCCTTTCTAATGTAAATCAGATTAGACCAGAATCAATTGTTCCTGCCCCCTGTCATGGCTGCCATCACGTGATGGTGCAAAGCCTCTATTGTTAAAGTGGGGGAAAATGCATAGCACATAGCAGACACACCTAGAGCTACACCCTTAACATGTGTAAAATATGTAACATGTTGACATCCAGGTGATTTGAAATCTCGATACGCAAAGCATGGTTAATCACAGCAAATATTTCCAATTATTTTCTATTATCTCTTTTCAAAACGAAATATTTTCAACCAACAATGACAAATTATGCTATTTTCTATATTTGGTGAGTCTTTTCACAAAATAAAGGGTCTTATTTTCTTTATTTTGGAGTAAAAGCTATTGTTTATCAAGCCAAAACCTGGACTAGGAAGCACTGAGCTACAAACACTATTTTCTTGCTTGGCTAATTCCCTCGGGCTAGGAGCAGCAAAATCACCTTATTGCTAGGCTACATAATTCTCAACTAAGAATTCACTCTTTATCCCCACACATGAGATAGCACTGGCCTTTTGATGTCTTTATTCATTTAACATGACAGCCCTTGACTATTAAATGATATAATGACCCTGTTTTTAAAGACAACTATTGTGAAGTTTTATTAGTAGTATACTTAATAAAATACTAGTAATTAAAACTCCTAAAATTCAATATATAGGAATACATAATCAGTCTTCAGTGTCTTGGAAAAAAAGTCCAAAAGAAACCTATAAGCTGAAGTTAATCAACTTTACTCTAGAGTATAAAAAAATCTGATGCTTCCAAAATCTAGACACCTGAATTTATATGTTATTTACTGGCCAGGAGGTCTGGATAGGGAAAAACTGTGCCCGAGGCCATTAGGCGGAGGTCTGTTATCAAGACCGAGGGCACAGTTTTTCTCTATCCGGACCAACTATAGAACGCTAAATAATTTATCCATTTTTTTTCCGTATTTTTTTAACTTGTTTTTGTAATCGTTTTGTGCTGTTGTTTAGCGGCAAAGGATACCGGACTGCAAGCACAGGCAGATACTGACAAAATATTGCCCGCTCAAACAGCCAATCAGAACGCACGATTTTTTAGGATACCGGACTGGAAAAAAATAACATAATTTATTTCAACTCTGATATTTGTACTTTTTGTTATGTCTATAATGTGTAGTTGCAGTAAGTATCCATACCCCACAATATGGAGGGAATTAGTATGGAACCCCTACCCCCAGGAACTTCCAATTTTCTTCCATACAAACTCTGTAATTTTGTTCTTTCTGACCCCCCTCCCCTCCAGAATTTCCAATTTCCTCTGTGGGTGGGGTATGGATATGATTTTAGAGTCCTATGACATACAAGACATTAATTTTTACACCATCAAAGTCCTAAAAAGATATCCAGCAGAGTACAACAGATGCTCACGCCCAGCCTGAGGGTGAACAACAGGCTTTAATTGGGAGGACTTTGAAAAGAGTGGGATTCAATACTAAAGACAATATGTCTACTAGGATAGTGGTGTCATTAAAATGAGGGTAACTATAAGAATTTTAACAGATTCAGCATGGGGTATTTAGAGATAGCCATACACACTTGTAGACAAACATGTGAGCATTGTTCTAAAAGGGGCAGGTGCATCCATTTTACCTTCCATTTTAGTGAGTGAAGCCACTGATCTCTCATATAAGCATTGGGAGCCTAAAATAAAATTAAAAATTAAAAAAATGGATGGATAGATGGATGGGTGGATGGGAAGGGGTGGATGGGTGGATGGGAAGGATGTGGTGGATGGGTGGATGGAAAGGGGTGGATGGGAAGGTGTGGATGGGAAGGGGTAGATGGGAAGGGGTGGATGGGAAGGATGTGGATGGGAAGGGGTGGATGGGAAGGTGTGGATGGGAAGGGGTGGATAAGAGAGGGTGTGGATGGAAAGGGGTGGATGGGAAGGGGTGGATGGGAAGGGGTGGATGGGAAGGTGTGGATGGGAAGGTGTAAATAGGTGGATGGGAAGGGGTGCATGGGAAGTGGGGATGGGAAGGGGTGGTTGGGAAGGGGTGGATGGGAAGGGGTGGATGGGAAGGTGTAAATAGGTGGATGGGAAGGGGTGGATGGGAAGGTGTAAATAGGTGAAGGGGTGGATGGGAAGGGGTGGATGGGAAGGGGTGGATGGGAAGGTATTGATGGGTCGTTGGGGAGGGACAGATAGAAAGGATACATGTAAATGAGTGAATAGGTGGGGTGGGTTGGATGGGTTGGATGGGTTGGATGCCTAGGATAGATGGATTGGTTGGATAAATATAATAAATGGCATGCTTTTATCAATCAAATAGGTAAATAAATGGGAATGTTGACCAGAGATAGAGCATTCAGAGACAAACAGAGAAAGGTGAGACCAAGGGGCCAAGTGGAAATGAAATGGTTGAAAACATCAGCAGCAAGGAAGAAATGTAGTCATGCACTTTCACCAACATACATACCCGAAGAAGTAACGAGCCATCAGGAATTGTAATCCTTATACAAAAATGTTGTCCTGTGTCCCACCTGTTGACTGTGTAGACATCTTGAATTTCATGGTATGGCACAGGTGTGAACATAAACCCTGCATACTGAAGGAGAAATCAAAAATAAAGGGTATTAGTATTTTTACACAAATCAGGTGCGCTCCTTGGTCACAACTTCATCTTATGCTGCTTTATTCACCTACAGTTCCTTTGTTGATTTGTGCCACTTGTGGAGATAAATAAAATTGGAAAAAAAAGAAAACAAAACAAAACACTATCTCTCCATTATTTATTACAGTATATTCACTTGTGTTAAAAATACTAAGACAAATAAATCACATCAAGCTCAGTTTCGAAGACTAACGTCTCGGTAAATATTCCCGGATATTCACTTCACGTTCGGTGAATAACTGTTAAATGTCAAGTAAAGTAACTATATTTAACGTCATAGTTCCTTCAGCTAAGAGCCTCAGGTATCCCAGGAAGCTGATATGTTGTGAACTTTACCCTCTCTCTCTCTCCATCAGTGCTCTGTTTTAAGACTACTTAAAGCTAAAGCAACATGGATTAGAGAGATGTCAAAAGGGGAGTAGAAATCCTGTCAAACAAGTATTTGCAAGCCTTATTTGGTAAACCAGCTTGCTTCACATCAAAATGTGTTGGTTTAAAGCACAAAAGCCAGTAATTTGAAGTATGCGAATACATTGATTGTGGTCCTATTTTTGTGTGTTATGCTGTAAGAATAGCAGTTATTTTGGATACGAAGAAAGACAGCAACACAAAAATTAGGTGATGCATGCACTCATAAAGAACATGACTGTGCACAAGACCCTCCCCCCCAATGACACGTACGTAATTAGAGGGCAAGATTATATATCAATTTGCACATCACAATATTTCATAATGTTGGACAAAAGACTATGATCAATCATATACACAAACATATATTAGGAAGCAATCTGACCTACACTACAGTATTTTTTCTTTCCACCTAATATCTATTCCAAACTAGGCTTTTAAGAATGGTTCATATTTCAATTTAACTGATGAATGATATAAATGCATAACGTCTGAAACCTACAATAAGCTATCTTTGTTTCAACCAACCATTCCTTTATTAGTTATCAATATTTACTACATGTATTCATTGTTTTTTTCCAGAATGTTTCTCATAATAATTCCATTTTATTCTTCTTAAATGCAAGAACAACTACAAAAAATAAATTTGTAACCCATTGAGTCATTTCTTTGCTAACACAAAACTTTTCTAGCTCATAGATATAGGCCAAGTTCAATATCTTAAAATTCAGACAAGTTTGATTGCAAGGCTTTGTTGTAAGGTACTTCTTTATGTACTGTATGGAATAAACACATGGATCACTGTCAGAATATATTTAGTGGAATGAATAGAATAATATTCCAACCYCTTGGCTATTAAAAATAAAATTTAGAGGGAAATGCTAGTCAGTTTACTACTCAACGACAAAATAATCAAATCTGCAGCACCATATCTATTGATCCTTTGGAGTTTAAAAGCCATCTTGAACACTACCTTCAGTACCAGTATTGCGCTAACATTTGAATAACTCAAACATGGCCTATTCATAAATTCATATTTTTATTCAAATTTAAGGGAATATGCTGATTTTTTAAACATTTGCTTGCTATCTTACTTCCAATAACTGTTGAATGATGATATTATGTTACTAACAACATTGTTTGTTTAGACAGCTGAGGAACTTATTTTTCTTCAAATTTTTTGCTTTTCCCTTTCATTTCACAAGATCAAACAATAAAAGCCTTCAATTCACACACCACAATTATGCTAAAAGATATAGATTATTACAGGGAAGTTGTGTAACATGTACGTATAGCTGGCAGTGTGTTTTTTTTTTAATTTTAGAAGTCATTCATTATTTTTTGTTACCCGCCAGTAGACGGAACTCCTATGTCTATTAAAACTGATTAGGATCAGCTGGTAAGAAATAGTAATGTACAGTTCAAAAAAGCTTAATTGCATTAAAACAACTCACAAGCTATATTAAAAAAAAAGTAGAGCATTTCGTGTCATCATATATATATATACAGTCACATGTGCAGAACTATAATATTATTATAATCATTAATGAGAAATCTTTGACCTTAAAAAACTACACACATTTCTGTCTAGTAAATAGAGTTTAAAATATGAAAAAAATCCACAGCCTCACTAGATTAATTTTTCACTCCAAGATCCTTAGAAAACTCAGGTCATATATGGTAAAATATTGTGATGACTTAAAGGAGTTTTCATATATCATAATCAAGATTAGTAATTCCAGTTAGCTAAGTTCAACAGCCAACTGCTTCAGTTCTTTGTGATTACATGACAGCTGCTGTCATAACTGTCTGGCAATGATGGACTGACTACTGAACTAAATTGCAGCCACACCTTACAATATTTTTTAAGTTTGTGGCTACAAAAAATGTCTTTGTTTTTGTGTTGGTTAGTCTGAATAAAAAAAATAGGTTCTGATTTAATTTATACAAAGTTATACTATAGTATAATATGTATAGAGTTTGTGACTATAGAATAGTATAATAGACACTCCCTCATTTTGTGTCAATATTAATGACACATGTATACATATTCATGTCATGCCTGCACAGGGGTTTCAATAAGGGTCGAGATCAGAGACTGCTCCAGTAAATGTGCAAAATTCTCTTGCATTAAATACCATACAGTAGTAATTTGTAAAGTGTTCACTTAGACTCTCCGGCTAGTTCATGACCTTATCCTATCATTTCAAGACTTAATGAAACCCCTGTGTGCATCTGTATTTTGATTGCATATTATTTATACGCTTTTTGTTGACTATTATAGGTCTAAGTATACAAACTAGCCCACTATTAATGAAATTTATGGGAATAAAAAACAGCCCTTGTTTGGCTGAGGGTATACAGTAACACTTAATACTCGTCGCCCTTGTTCCATGATTAAAATGGATTAAAATGGAAATTGTTAGAATTTTTTTATGGAGGGTCAGAAAAACCCTTGAAGCACGTTAGATAACCAACAAGCAACACACTCTATTTAATAAGCACCACACCGAACCCAGGGATCAAACCCATCCAAGTGGCATTGGTGAGTGACTCTAACTGATACTACCATGCATTTCTAGTTAACATTAATCTGATTATTGATTATTGTCATGATCATAAGACAATTAATATTATGTGTCAAATGGACTTTGTTTGATGTGTTGTTCTTTACCTTAAAAAAAAAGGTTTTCACCATGTTTTTCCCACCATCCATAAAAAAAACAAAAATGTACTGCGATTATTATGTTTATTTCATTTCAGAATTTAACGATTTCACATGACAGCTTTTCTGAATTTGAAAAAAAGATTGCATTGTGGTCTAGTTAGGGTACAAACCACAACATTTAAGGCATGATGAACAAAAGAGTGTCTGTATTGAAGATGAAGCTGTATCACAATGCAGCATCATAGCTATCTATCTAAGAAAAGGTCTCTGAGATTAGATACATGCATGAATATGGAGACAACTCAAATAAAGAACCTTATACTCAAGGAAATGAAACATTGTCTGAAATGGGAAAATATTCCACAAATCTGTCTAATAGGCCACTTGCATTATACCATCATTTACTACCACTACCAGACTACCATGCACTAACCTTTTTTTCAGTTCATTAGTGCCAATTGACTTACTATTCTCATGAGGAAATACAAATTTGAATAAGTGAGAAAATTTGCGAAGCATTTTGGTTGTGGTCAACATCATACAAACTGCCTATTGCACTCAAATAATATATAAAGTGGATCACGCTTCAACAGAACAAAGCACTCCAAACCAACCTTTTTTACCAACCTTTAAAAAAATTTTAAATTTATATTTTACACCATCATGTGCCAGCTACAGTAATGTAATCAATACTAAAAAGTACATGTGGTATATAACCAGCTGAATGAATCTTATAATTACCACCCCCTACACTGTACATACAGCTCTATGACAACTTATACATGTAATTCAAGAATAACTTTATAAATTATACACAAGACATTGATTGGCAAAAAAGTTGCTCGTTAAAAAATTGTACGTGTTACTATGATATGTTCAAAATAAAAATTATTTATACATACAAATAAAGTCCAAAAATATATATTAATAATAATATAGCAATGATTATCAGGATATAGAGTTAGATGGGAAAATATAGTTTTCAAATTTGTGGTTATTATTCTTTTATTTTCTTTCACTCAACACTTCGCTATATTAATTGTTTAAAAGATGAATAAAGATTTGAAATCCTTTTAATTGGTGTTTCTAGAGGACCCACTTACCTCTTGTGAAAAAATTTATCAACATATAGTTTTATGCTGACCTTTATCTAAAGAGCTTTCAACACATACCACGTAGGCACTTGAATTCTTGCCAAAACATCTTTAATTTAAATCTGTTATCACTGCTATAACTTTATGAAATAATTGAGCAAGAATGAAACCATTTTAATTACATGATCACAGAATCAGACACATATTTTGTTATTTGTGATGAATAACATATTATTTTTCCTATCGAATAATTTTTTTTCCCAGTGTCGGCTGGATTATGATTCAAATACTTGTAGGTTTAGAGTACACTCGAAGAGTGAGAAACCATTGAATATGTTATTATCACATCCCACTAGGATATCTTCTATTTCATACTTGGATCAGCGTCAGTAATATGCTAATATCACATCTCACTAAGTTTACCACGTATAATTTAAAATACATGAATAAGTAGTAAGTAGTTGGAAAGACATTGGGCCATAAGTCAGGGATAAAACAAAATCAATAAAAAATTATACTGCTGATCACTGTGCACACTCATTACTTTTACAAGTTGAACAAATATTGCCAGTTTTGAAAGACATCCTAAAAACAATTGTGCGTTCTGATTGGCTGCACATCAGGCAGTATTTTCTGCCCGCAGCCAGTATCCTAATATAAGCCTTAGGTCATCCAAGTGTGTGCAGGGAAAAACGGAATGCATTGTTATTACAAAACAAATTGCAAAACAAGTAGAAAAGTAAATGAGAAATAATAAAAGATTATATTTACTGGTCTAAAGTTGGTACAGATAGGGAAAAACTGTGCCTTCAGTTTTGAAAAAGGACCTTTTTCCTCCATCCCTATATTCAAGAACTTGGGCACAGTTTTTCCTATGCCCTATACAGGGCTCTTCTGTGAAGTTTCCTCCACATGCACCATCACTACATTCTATATAAATATATTTACAACACACAACACTCAACTCACATGTTGATTTTTATGGAGGGAAGAAACCGGAGAAGGAGAGAACAACACATCAAACAAACTCAATTCACATATGATCCAGTCTGAGCCGGTGCTCCGGACCTGGACCACAGTGGTGAGAGGTGAGTCGTAAGTCTAAAATTTACCTCAGGCCCAGTGAAATATGGCAAATATTTACCTCATCTCAGTAAATATTCACCAATATTCACTTTGTGAATTATTCAGTAATGATGAAAAGGTAAATTAATTGTGAATTATTGTTAATTAATACAGTTGTATTTTATGCATATATATGTTAATAACAAAAAATATAAATTTAGTATGACATTTTATAACTATAAATAATGATTAAAAAAAATAAAGTAAAAAACTTCTATTCTATATTATGGGTATCTCGTTTCTTCGTGATATTGCTTTGATAAAAATATTATATATTTATGATAATATGAAAATTAAACAAAAGAAGGTGCATGAATAAATAAGTTTTTGAGAAAAGTTTATTGATTTTCCTCCCTGCTTTTGTCTAATTTAATATCGCGATTATGCAAATCCTTATGCTCGGCGAAGTTTAACCTTTAATTTGGATGATAAATATTCAGTTTTTGAAGTTTGACAAAAATTTTCCATTTAAAAACTCTGTATTCGTATAAACACCAACTCCAGATGAGAATCAATTATACGAATAGAATGAATACTTGTGAAGTACGATCGAGAGCTTTTGTTCTAGCTCTATAGAAATATGCGAAACATATTCGCTCATGTAATCAACGTACTGTATAATATTAATTAACATTCGGAGCTTTAAAAACAACTAATCTGTAAAAAGCGAAATTATTTCTGTATCTCTTAGCCGAAAACACCTCATATAGTTTATATTTTTTACAAGATAAGGTCGTTAAAAAATAAAGACTGTTTGATGATTACAAAAACGATTCATGTTCATGATCTTCGCCGACTCCTTCGAATGGTAAACAAATAGGCTTCGTATTTAATTGCGAAGGATTTGCAAGAAAATGCATTTAAAATTTCTTGTAAATAAAAGCTTTAGGAATCAAGAAGTCTTCCTTGGGGGACATTTTTGTTCAAAAGGGTTCGTTAGGCATAATAAAATTCGGTGATCATAATAACTAAAATGACCAATTGATTGAGAAAAATCTTAACTATTAAATTCGCGTAACCTGTATTGACGGAAATATATAAAACTAAAACTGTTTAAAAACATCTAGCTTTCGACCAAACAAGCGCTATCAGTAAAAGACAATGAAGAAGAAAGTGAAAAAACAACTTCATTTTGAAGTTTCCTTTCAGCTTTCTTCTTGTCAACTGAGAGGCTTCAAGCCAAAACAACCACCTCCAACTACTTACCGTTTGAGAAAACATTTGAAATTCCCCCATAGAAATATGATGAGCTTCCCATCTTCGCAGAAACTTGGAGCTAAGCACTTTACTTATTAAAGTTCGGCTATGGTTAAGTCGGCAAACTTGTATGTCCCCTTCGTGGAGAAGTTTGAACTTCGGTCCACCGCCACTACTACAACGATTTGGACGAGGAGGCCATTGCGACGTTGCATTGGCAACTCCTAGAGTCAAAGCCATCACCTATACACCCACAAAACTCTGCAGTATCAACTCAGGATTCTAGCCTTCGGAAATATTGCTGGATTAATATGTTTTCTAGAGGATGAAAAAAATGACTCTCTCAATAAATCATCGCGCGCGACTAGACGGAAATAAATATCAGTGAGTTTGAGATCCGTGTGACGTCATACATACCGAATGATGGACAGCACTCTCGCTCGGGAGCTAATATATATGTTTGTGACGGTAAAAGTGGCTTATATTTTCATGTTTTTTTATATTAACTTTTTCTACACTTTGCTAATACTCTCCTCTGATTCCAAGCAACTTTGCTTTAAAACACAAAATCATGATAATATTAATAAAATAATTGTAAAATTTATTCTATATACCATCTGTGTGAATATATATAGAGATCATCACATGTTAAGAGCTTGATGTTGACCATCATGATTTTTTCTGTCCATCTGAACTTGTGGACTATTATTAAAACAACATCTGTATAAATATCATTCATTCATGTTTTTGATCGAGCCATTTAGTTTTTCCTAAAGCCCATCATCATCAGGTAACATCCTTGTTTGATTCGTAGAGACCAACTCGATCTTATGTTTACTTTCTTCAAAATGCAAATAATGCGATGATAAAAATGCCTGATGGAGTTTGGACGCCAGTCTGTTTTAGGGACTACACAAAACACACTAGCCAAAAAAAATTAACGATCAAGTAATTTCGACTAAAAAAAGTTTCTGAATGAATAATGATCAATGTACGTACTAAGATTAAACACTACTATTAGACTACGGAAAACTGATGCACTACTGTTCACTAACCAAGTCTTTATTACTAAGGTTTTAATTTATAAAAACGCAGTTTCATAAAGCAGAAAGACTAGTTGCGCGCCCTTGGTGAAGATTTGCCGGAATATTAATTTCTCACAGTACACTTCTTTCAGCTCAAAACACAGGACTCGGTGTCAAAAAACAGGAATGATTTTATTAAAGAATTAAAAAAGGATATAAATGAACAGTCTAAACTGAAAATGGCAATGTTTTCGTTCATGGATTCGCTTTTGGCTAACGACCCTATCTGTAAAAAAAGCAAGATGTTACCGCGGAACTTTGCTACAATAACAAGAATGGGGGCTTCTATTTGAAATGGGTACATGACGCGGACGCAGTGAAAGCCAATAGTAAGTTGTGTAGTCGATTCCTCTTTTATCGCCCAAGGAAGAGAGCTGGGATGCCCAAGGAACTCCTGGAGAAGGGACTTCTGGAGAAGGAAATTAGCAGTCGTTATATGACTTGGTCATGACTTGGACTTGATCAGTGCTAGTAAAAGCCCAAAACCATGATGAGAGCGATGGGCTAAAGTTAGCAATAAAAAATGGTAGTGAGGATAAACCTCAGCAAAGCTTTCCTTTCAATTAAGAAAAAATGGGTAAAATAAAATATTACATGGAAAATCGAAATCGAAATCTGAAACATGGACGCGCCCTCGAACATTTGAATGGAAATTGAACTTCGAATCGAAAAAAAAAAATTTTAACCGCGCATGATAACCATCTATGCAGTGCTCCGTAGAATTAAACATTGTTATCAGATCAAAAAACGATAGCTTTATTTGTATCCTCGATCGGCCAAACTTCATTTTGCTTTCATTCTGGATTATTGAGAGTAATGGTCAGCGAGCATACTTAACTGCAATTCATTTTGGATAGGAATCGTTTTGATCTTCATATGAATACCGCATTTACTGTAAGATGGGGCTGAGCGAGCTGGAGTTGTTTCCGTAGGACAGTAGAGACAACGGAAATGTAATGCAAGATGAAATCAAAATGAAGCTAGTGATAACTTTTATTTTTCTCTGAGTGATTCTAGAGATTATGCATGCATAATTCATGATTTTTTATTCATGGGGCTTATTTCACTTAATCAGCAGGGGTTCCTGCGAAGTTTGTATATGGGTTGAAGTCGGCGCGATGTATAACGCGGCTGTCACAAATGCGCGTGAAGCAAAAGGCTAATCTCATATACAATATGAGTATATGAATAAATTATTTATAATAAATGAATATATAAAAAAATACTTCATTCTGGTTGGGTAAGGTTTGATAGGTGAGTTAGTGATAAAAAACTTGGGTAAAATTTAAAAGCTTTCGGTTACTTTATATCACTGTCGACTAACTTTATGATAAAACTATCAATTCTCGCTTGCGCACTTGAGCTACACCCTATAAAGATCATTGGAGTAAACCTTATGTGACGTTATACTGCCGCCATGTTACCCAACAGGAAGGTTATCTATTCCAAGCTCACTCCAAGCCGCACGTCGAGTTTTAAACACGGCGAACCTTTGCGAAAACCAGAGGCTTTGCAGGTAATAGAAAAAATTAAGGCCAACCACAAATTATATTCCTTAAATGTTAATGTGTTTTTTTTTCATTCATGAATGTTTTCATTCGGTCGTGATGTTGTAAACAAATTAATGGCTGCGTTGCGAACTAGCAAAAACAAGAGGCTTTACTCGTAATGGGAAAAAAAAGCCAACCACAAATTATCCCTTACAGTCAACTCGTTATTGCTGATTTGCAATCATTGCCAAGAGAATGAAATAACAGAAGACACGGCGGCCATGTTGGATGATATGACAAAAGAAACTAATGATGAATCTTTTGTTAAATTCATCCAGCATGGCAGCTGTGAAAACCATTAATTAATTCATAAATATCTTTGCAGATGCGCATGGGAAAAAAGTAGTTGTTTCTTATAATGAAAAGACATTGCAGGGAAATGGATAAAAATTCATTAAAAACCCAAACAAATCGTTGAAACATATTAAATAAGAAGTACCGCGATGAATTCTCCTTGTCGATGTTCCGTGCTGTTTTGATCTCACCGTTTTACATCAAACACAGATCGATGGTGTCGTGAATGATATTTTTTGAATGATTATATTCATACATTTATTATAATTTATTATAATTTTTACGTAATAATCACAATTATATTGATATCATGAGGATGATCCTTTCTTGGTTGAATGATTTACGAAGATTGAAAATGTATCTGGAAATCAAATGATAGGTAAGATCTATAGGTTAATAATTTGGGATACCATTACTGTATCAACATAAGAGAACATAGACATTAGCATGATCATCATCATCATTACCATCATCACCATCCTCATCATCCTCATTAATTTCATCTTTAAGTGCTTCAGTTATATTTTTAAAATTATTATCATTATCATCATCATTATCATCATCATCATTATCATCACCATCTCATCATCCTCATTAATTTCATCTTAAAGTGCTTCAGTTATATTTTTAAAATTATTATCATTATCATCATCATCATTATCATCATCATCATCACCATCCTCATCATCCTCATTAATTTCATCTTAAAGTGCTTCAGCTATATTTTAAAAATTATTATCATTATCATCATCATCATTATCATCAGCAAGAATAAACTCTTACCCATAAGACACCATAGGTCACCGACCTCCAGGCCACATCCCCACCCCCAGCCCCCAAGAAACAAAGACAACCTTTTCTTTCCCCCATCCCTATTCTCCATGCATTCACATCCACACAGCCACCATATCAAATATAAACATTTAGTCAACAAAAAGTTTTAACTTAAAAGTTTCCAAATATCTACCTGAGTGTAACTCTGGGGGATCATTTCAACAAACGTTGCAGCTTTTCTTGCAATACATGCGCATGTAGGCGGGATTTCTTTGACATTCTCCTCTGGACGCCCAACTAGAGCATCTTGCATTACGATCATAACATCGACCACCAGTACTCCCTAATAAAAATAATCCGCATTAGCTAGTGATGACTTAGCATCCTCTGCAGGCGTCTCACTTTTTGCTTCGGGCCTTTCTCATCTGTTTTCTTTGGCGGGCTGGTGTGTGACTACCCTGGGTGCCAGAGGCCGTGTGGGCCCCCTCCTCCATCTCTCTCTCTCTCTCTCTCTCTCTCTCTCTCTCTCGCCCCTAAGCCCCACACGGCCTCTGGCACCCAGGGTAGTGTGTGACCAAGCGCCAAGAAAGGGAAATAAGAGGGATGCCTGTGGAAGAGGCTAGTGCTGACTGTAACTGCTAGGGCTCAGCTAGTAATAGTCCCTCTTTCACTCCAAACTAAGTCTAGTGGGTACTTTTTTTTCGTATTGGATGTGCGGCGAATTGGGGGCGCTTCAAAATCGCTCTAATCCCCCGCATATTCCATACCCACATTAACAATTAACCTCAGATCAACCTATTCTGAGCCAGTTATCAGTATTCACTGAATCATACCTC